AGCATTTTTTTGGAAGACTCTTGAGAGCGTCATCGGGATACCATTCGAAAGGAATTCAGATAAAGATTACGGTAGTAGGACCATGTAATTTGCTTTAAGAACAGAAACGTATATGCAAAAATATCATTGTAGAGAACAACTCGTGTATCTCATTGAATTTTTAGAGGTTTCGATAGCTCATTCAGATTGACTTTTGCGCAGAAAATGACTTCTATATCTTATTTAATTGACTAAAGTTTACGAACAAGGAACTACAGATGTTGTTATCAGTTGTGGTTATGTTCTAAACTACTCTTTTGCGTGGTTGTGTAGATAATCATTTGTGATTTCGTTTCATGTGAAACTCCACTCATACGTTGCTATGCATCATTTGAAGTTTATTCTGCGAGTTTCTAATTTAAACGACGCATAGACCTTCAGAGCATCCTCCTGGGCATTTCGAACATGGTGCACCTGTTTCGTAGATTTTGGCATTAAGCATGTTTCCTCTAAAATTGAAGTCTTGTTGGTGGCTTATTGAAGCGACTCTACTTACGCTTTTTTATAATTGCAGACTGCTAAGGTCATCCTGGGGCAGCTTTGAACGGCGCAACCAATGACTTTTGTAGACTGCCAGACCATCTAAATCTATGTATTTAAGAAACCATGATATTGTCTGAGATCATTTCTGCTACTAACAACAAGTAGGCAAAGTCTCTTTAACGTAATTGAGAAGCTTTCAAGATGGCGCAAAGCAAGGCATTATGTGGGAAGGGCATAGTTCATCTGCGTTGGCGCAAATCTAGTGCTGCGACTGCTTCTTGGGTGCGGGGTGGTGGTGGCTTTGTAGGAAGAACTAGGATATTGTATTCTCGATGATGGGAATGCAGTACTGTTTTCACCTGTGTGTAATGTCCAACTTTATTGTTGAAGAGTTTCATGCTGAACGTGAGGTCTTTGCCAACTCCGCGTTGTGCAAGCTCCCCAAACCATGATCTTGAAGCCTGTAATGATAGAAACGAGTTGCTTTCTTTGAGCGACAAGCAAAATGGCATTTTTCACATCTTCGGCAGCTTTTACTGGGTCGTACGCTGAGCCGCTCATGTAGATGTTTTCTCCAAGATCTTCAGTATTTGAGTGCTGGAAGACACATTTAGCAGCGTGTTTCACAGCGTATTTCTCCACATCGCAATCGTACTTCTGGAATATCTCGCTACCACTTGCTGCCTATCATCAATGTTGTCAGAGAAAATACCAATTTGTTCATGGCAGCAGCTTTAGGAGCATAACCTCCATTACCGTCTTTAGCTTTTCCATTAGCCACCAGCGATCTGCATGCATCAGATGTGAACTCGTAGAAAGCAAAAAATCCTTCTCATTAGATCTCTTACCTTAGCTCGTTGTGAACGTCCAAGAACTTTTGACGGATCTGATCGTTCATGCCGCCATTTGCGGGGCAAATACCTGGTAAAAAAGGCCTAACATTTTTGGCAATAAGCAGCACGAAGAGCTACTATACCTGCATAAGCAGTCGCGATTAGGCAGACCTGAAATGTTTATCAAATTGCTTAGTCAAAATTGAGAAAGTAGCGACTTACCAATAGAACGGAACGCATTTTGTGTGTGATGCTAGTCCTATGTGGCTGCTTTTATGCAGGTTGTGAGCTTTCACCCTTCTGACGTTGGCCATAAGGTGTGTCATCTTTGTGTCATCAATTTTGAAGATCTTCTGTTGGGATCTGTTATCATAGCTGTCTCATAAGTGAATTCTGATGTCAAATAGAACACTGAGCGAAAAAAGCAAAGCAAAAAATACCAACGCCATCGACGTTGCCGATTGTTATGAATCTACCCTGTCGTAGACAAAACTCTGATATACTGCAATGACTCGGTTAGCCCCACCAATCTGAGTATATTGGTAGAGATGTTAGCCTAGTGCACACAAAGAAATATGTGATAGTTTTTCTTGGGTTGATTACATTTCTATTAGACTAAGCTCCAATAACAGTCTAGATAGGGATCTACTCAACAGAGCCTCAAATTTGGGTACTACAAACCGACACGCTGACTATGAAAAGCAATACAGCAATGCACGCCACACTTGATCATCAAAGCAGCTATTGCTTGAAAGAAATCCGCATAGAGTGAAATGTTCAGAAAAAAGTGTTTCTTGGCGATCCAACCACCTCTAGCCTTATCCCAAATACAGGTAAAAGCGCCGTTCTAGCTTCGAATGCATCCAAAGCCTATGAAGCTAATGAAACAAAAGTAACTAAAGTACCTTGCAAATCGAGAGCTGAATTTAGCATCTAAAGCGAGTTCGAAATATTTCTTTCAATATATCAACAGAAAGTTGAGGAAGAACTCTGGACTGCCGGTCGTCAAAGATCTGTCTGGTGCTAGTCACAGCGTAAATGTTGATAAAGCTAATGCTCTTGCAAATTATTTTGTCAGTGTTTTTTCCATTGAAGAATCTACAATCTCACATGGTCAACTGTGCTGTGCCTCGCTGAGACATTCCTTGAATTACGTTCATTTCATTCCATCTGATATTAGGAGGATTCTAAAAAGTTTGAAACCATCAATTTCAGAACCTTTTGATGGAATACCCCAAATCGTCTACAGGGAATGCGCCGACTCCCTTTGCAAACCTTTGGCACACATCTTCAATCTTTCCATGTCCCTAGGGGCTGTACCTGAGATATGGAAAGAAGCACTAGTCACCCCGATTCCAAAAATCTCTGGTGCTGAATTAGTCTCAGACTTCCGCCCGATTAGTATGACCCCTTCCTCAGTCAAGGTTATGGAGAAGATTCTGCGTAATAAACTCACCTCTTTGTTGAAGAAATCGGGAACAATCCCCAAAGAACAGCATGGTTTTGTTGAAGGTGTAAGTACAACAACTAACCTAGCCGATAGCCTTTTCGACTGGACTATGGCAGTAAATAAAGGGCAGTCTGTGGACATCATCTTTGTTGATTTGTCCAAAGCTTTTGATAGAGTTTGCCACCATAAGCTCATCGAGAAATTAGAGTATTGTGGTATTAGAGGGAATCTACTCTGTTGGTTTGAGTCATATCTACGGAACAGGCATATGACCGTGAAAGTTGGCTACGATTATTCTCAAAGGCATTCGTGTCCGAGTGGTGTACCTCAAGGAGGGGCGCTTTCTCCTCTTTTATTTCTAGTTTACACCATGGATTTACCAGATGTTCTACGAACATCATTATCGATTAAGGTGCAAATGTACGCCGACGATATCAAGATTTACGGGATTTACGACTCATCCAATTATGATGAAGTACACATGGCGCTCACTAAATCAATTGAGAATATGCTTAGTTGGTCTAGGCAGTGGGACCTTCCCCTTAACCCCGACAAATGTTCGGTCATGCATATCGGGCGGAGTAGGGTAACAACATACGAAATCAACGGAGTCACACTCAAACAGTCTATTTCAGCTAAAGATTTGGGTGTTACTCTTGATCCCTGCCTCAGTTTTTCAACGCATATAGACTTTGTGGTCAAGAAGGCATACAATGTCCTTTATGCAATTCTTAGAAGCGTACACTACCAGAATCCGAAGATCCTCAAATGCTTGTACAGAACATATGTCTTACCACACCTCGAATACTGCTCCCAAATATGGCCATATCGGAAGAAAGATATTAAAAGGATAGAAAAAGTACAACAAACTTTCACGCGGTTGCTTTATCTCAGATGCTCCAAAAACAAAACCCTGAAAGATATTCCTTGTTACAATGATCGTCTCAAACTGTATGGTATGAGGAGCTTGGAGCACCGCAGAAAGTTGTCTGACCTCATCTTTTGTTTTCGAGTTTTACGTAAAGAGATTAATCTCTCAGCGAGCAAGTATTGGACCTTCATTCCTGCTAGTGTACGCTCCTACTCTTTTAATCTGCACTATTTCCCAATAAAACGAAGAAGATATTTGCTGGCTTACAACAACCTGTTTTATCGCGGAGCACGGTGGTTGCAACATCTGCCTTCCGATATTCTACGATCGTCTAGCAGTGCCTCCTTCAAGTCAAAACTGAGGAAAGTTGATTTGCAGGATTTTGCTGACTTTTGTGGTTGAATTCAGTTCATTGAAAGCCTTCTTTCAGTTAGACATTCTTGTCTTATTGCGTTGCCTTACGACTGAAGATACTTCTTGTCAAACTAGCTACAGCTGAAGGTCGATCTGGCCACTACACTCGCACACAGTATTACAAAAAGTTATTGTTCATTATTGTTTTCTTGTTTGATTGCATATTGATAGCTCACGACTAGCCAGCTTAGCCTACTGGGAAGTCGATCTCAAAATTTGTTTTCCTGATATAATTAGTATTTGAATCACAATATAGTTACATCGGTTGACTAAATGTCTTTCTGGTGTCTTTCGCTGTTATGACTCATCTTTTCTCATCTTTGTCTATCTTGTTGTCCTTTCAGAGAGCCTGTGTTTTTTTATGGGGATTTAATCAGCTAGCCTCCGCCCGTAGGCTCGCTGGTCCTCAAAACAATGGGAAATTTATCTCTGAAAGACAGTAAGATATTCAACACACTACCAATGCGATTCTCTCGTTTACAATTGGTTAGTGCTACGATTTAGTGAGTTAAACTTGAGTCTTTCATCGGATATTATGTTTTATTGCTTTTCATTGGGACTAATTGGCTATCGTTTGAGTTTACTATTAGTGTTTGATTTTTGCTAACGGCACACCCAGAGTGTATTAAATAAATAAATAAATAAAAACATTGCTTCTTGCTTCGATGACAGCCTAGACTTTTTCATCGATCTCATCAACGTCAATGATTTCGTTCGCACTTTTTGCAATCAATGTTCTATTTGAAATCAGAATTCACCTGATGTGCGAGGTACAGCTAAGGTGACAATCCTTACACATCCCCCAGCAAATTCATAATGGAGAGATGACACACCTTATGGCCAACGTCAGAAGGGTGAAAGCTCACAACCTGCATAAAAGCAGCCACATAGAACTAGCATCACACACAAAATGCGTTCCGTTCTATTGGTAAGTCGCTACTTTCTCAATTTTGACTAAGCAATTTGATAAACATTTCAGGTCTGCCTAATCGCGACTGCTTATGCAGGTATAGTAGCTCTTCGTGCTGCTTATTGCCAAAAATGTTAGGCCTTTTTTACCAGGTATTTGCCCCGCAAATGGCGGCATGAACGATCAGATCCGTCAAAAGTTCTTGGACGTTCACAACGAGCTAAGGTAAGAGATCTAATGAGAAGAATTTTTTGCTTTCTACGAGTTCACATCTGATGCATGCAGATCGCTGGTGGCTAATGGAAAAGCTAAAGACGGTTATGGAGGTTATGCTCCTAAAGCTGCTGCCATGAACAAATTGGTATTTTCTCTGACAACATTGATGATAGGCAGCAAGTGGTAGCGAGATATTCCAGAAGTACGATTGCGATGTGGAGAAATACGCTGTGAAACACGCTGCTAAATGTGTCTTCCAGCACTCAAATACTGAAGATCTTGGAGAAAACATCTACATGCGCGGCTCAGCGTACGACCCAGTAAAAGCTGCCGAAGATGTGAAAAATGCCATTTTGCTTGTCGCTTAAAGAAAGCAACTCGTTTCTATCATTACAGGCTTCAAGATCATGGTTTGGGGAGCTTGCACAACGCGGAGTTGGCAAAGACCTCACGTTCAGCATGAAACTCTTCAACAATAAAGTTGGACATTACACACAGGTGAAAACAGTACTGCATTCCCATCATCGAGAATACAATATCCTAGTTCTTCCTACAAAGCCACCACCACCCCGCACCCAAGAAGCAGCCGCAGCACTAGATTTGCGCCAACGCAGATGAACTATGCCCTTCCCACATAATGCCTTGCTTTGCGCCATCTTGAAAGCTTCTCAATTACGTTAAAGAGTCTTTGCCTACTTGTTGTTAGTAGCAGAAATGATCTCAGACAATACCATGGTTTCTTAAATACATAGATTTAGATGGTCTGGCAGTCTACAAAAGTCATTGGTTGCGCTGTTCAAAGCTGCCCCAGGATGACCTTAGCAGTCTGCAATTATAAAAAAGCGTAAGTAGAGTCGCTTCAATAAGCCACCAACAAGACTTCAATTTTAGAGGAAACATGCTTAATGCCAAAATCTACGAAACAGGTGCACCATGTTCGAAATGCCCAGGAGGATGCTCTGAAGGTCTATGCGTCGTTTAAATTAGAAACTCGCAGAATAAACTTCAAATGATGCATAGCAACGTATGAGTGGAGTTTCACATGAAACGAAATCACAAATGATTATCTATACAACCACGCAAAAGAGTAGTTTAGAACATAACCACAACTAATAACAACATCTGTAGTTCCTTGTTCGTAAACTTTAGTCAATTTAATAGGATACAGAAGTCATTTTCTGCGCAAAAGTAAATCTGAATGAGCTATCGAAACCTCTAAAAATTCAATGAGATACACGAGGTGTTCTCTACAATAATATTTTTGCATATACGTTTCTGTTCTCAAAGCAAATTACATGGTCTTACTACCTAATCTTTACCTGAATTCCTTTCGAATGGTATCCCGATGACGCCCCCAAGTCTTCCAAGATCTACTTTTTGGTATGGACTATTTTCCTTTTAGGAATACCAGACCTGGAATTATTCCGAGTTGGTCAGCATACTAGAATGAGGGATACTCCTCCGCCAGTGGCGGACCCAGGATTTCCGTTCGGGGGAGGGGGCGACAAAAATTTTTTCGAATGAAGGTGCGTGGCGTTAGCCACGCACTCCGAAAAAATTTTAGGGGTGCTTCTCAAAATTTTTGCGGGTCCCCAATCCCTAAAATCTGGAAGAAGGGGGCGTGGCGTTAGCCACGCCCCCGAAAAAATTTTTTTTACAAAGCTGAACTAAATTTTTAAAAATTTTTAAGAATTATTTTAATTATTTACAATTACAAACGAGTTACTTGCACATTTTTATAACCCATATAAGTAACTTTTGAAAATTTCGCGACCCATTCTCGGGGGGGGGGGCGCCCCCCCCTCGGTACGCCACTGCCCGCCGCCATAGTGTGCAAGTGTGACGCAGACTAGATTGATGTTAGAATTTTTGACATTGTCACCGGGCAGAGTTAGAGATCCCCAAATTTTACCCAATCAAGATGCGCATGTCTTTCATTCACATAAAATTCAGAATGCTTCGTAATTTGTTCCTACTTCTACTTAATCTTGTACAAAACGAAATAGGTGTCGTGTTGACTAAATGTGAAGTACTATATACAGTAGTGCACTTTTTGAAGCAAATAATAATTATCTATACGATAGCAACGCATTTTCGCCGAACTCGCCTTATCGCCTAACTTTTCGTTCAGTCGTATTTCGCTCAGGATGAACGAATCCGGACCAAGTTACCCCTGCTTGGTATGCACTAAACCCACTGCAGATGGCCGTCAAACAATGAAATAGAAGCCGGTCAAAATATCGTAGGTCGCATTTTTCGACAGTGGCTCCAATTCGGCAAATGTTATTCAGAGAAATGAAGGATGGAACAGCATTAAACCAATTTTATGAAAACTACAAGATTAGTTCGTGATACTTGGTTCGTTCTGAGTTTTGCGTGACATTAAGGAATGTAGCACAAGCCCGAAACACGTGTGACAGCCACACCTTTTTTTGGGATTGTGCCGTAATCCATAGATTTTGCCACAAAATTTTTAAGGGACGATATATGTGTCAAACAGTCGCCTATCAGTGGCGGACCGAGGGGGAGGGGGACCTGGGCAGGGTGGCCCTCTCTTGAAAGTTACTTACATGAGTTATATAGATGACTTGTTTGTACTTGTACATAACCGCATTGTTCTTGAAATTTTTTGTGGCTGCCGCCACTTTCCCGGTGGACCAAGGCAGAGAAAATGCCAATGCAAAAAGTGACCAACTTATTGAAAAATGTGAGTGTTTAGCTTATAAATCAACAAAGACATCAAGATGTTCACAACAATTTTTGTTTTTAATTTCAACACTGTACACACATACACATTATATTTCCGAAAAGTTGATTTTGGTTGAAATTGGCCCTTCACTTAAATGGGTCTACATTTGGAAAATTGCCCTGAATTTTGGTCAACAGGAATTGTTTGACATGATATTTACGAGAATGGTATTCATTATGCTTGGCAGGGCCTCTTTATATGCCGACAGGTGTACAATGGTACAGTATCTCGGTGTGCTTGAATTCTGCGCAATGGGGGAGGGGGAGGGGGGGGAGGGGGGAGGATGCAGTCATACTGTCAAGGAATACCATGCCATCAATATTACCAGCACCACCTCGACTACAGCTCCCCCCCTACCAATCATATCAATCCAATGACAGTCACACTCTTATAATCCCCCCCCCCCCTCCCATCTTTTCTTCATACCCTAACGCCTTTTTCACGTCTTAAGGGCCGGGCATACTTCACGCGATTTCAGTCGCGGCGCGATTTGGCAATATTCCAACTGTCCATAACTCACTGTAAGCGTATTTTAAATGTGTAGAAGATAGGGCATTTCATCAATCCACGTAAGTTATACACACCATGCATGTGCAATTTGCTAGCGTTGGATCTGAAGACTTCTGGCGAATTGCCAAATCGCGACGCGACTGAAATCGCGTGAAGTATGCCCGGCTTTTTACTTCCTCTGAATGCTTCCACATCCAACACCGTGATACCGTCATACACCTTACATGGGACATGGGACACATGTGAGGTGAATGAACATGGAAAAATTAACATGTCTGTGGCATGGACACAGACCTTACACATGTCATCGGACACATCCAGCCTTTCTGTGTTGTTAACTGTGCATTGTCTGTTGCTTGGAATTTTAACACAAATTTGATTAAGAGGCCAAAGTGCTCATCGATCAACCTCCTACAAGCCGAAGTGTTTCGTGCAAACTAACAAGTTTACTAGCAAATTCTCACATTTGCACAATACCGAGTGGAACGGAGTTTAGCAGTAGTTTAGCATCAACAAGCACTCCCAGGTCCCTAGCTGAGCCGCATGACCTCAACGCAAGATCCTCAACCACATAAGTACTTGCACAACCATTTCCTACATGCAGTACGCAACTCTTGTCAAGATCTAATATATAAAGAATCGTAAGCGCAATTTAAAAATGTGCAAATAGCGGGAAACCGCGTGGCTGTCCCAGCGCGCGGATGCAATCTAGCGCCTTTAATTACTGGTTCACTAGTTGAGTGTTAAATTCAGTCGTTGCCCATTCAACCAGATTGGAAAGAGACAATTGTAAAGCTGATTGAACCTCAATTCGATCTTCTGCATCGTACATTCCGTATATCTTTATATCATCTGCATACATTTGCACTTTAATCTTTTGAGAAGTATGGAGTAAGTTAGGCAACTCCATAGTATAAATGAGGAATAATATAGGCGATAAAACTCCTCCTTGAGGAACACCACTTGCACAAGAATAGGTATCCGAAAATCGGTCATGAACTCTTGCAGTCATATAGCGGTTGTGCAGATACGAATCATACCATGCGAGCAGCGGGTCATCAACGCCTATCATTTTGAGTTTCTTCACTAGCATATCATGACAGACCCTATCAAATGCTTTACATAAATCAATATAAAGAACATCCACACATTTTTTACTATTCAAGGCAAGAGTCCAGTCATAAATACTGTCAACCAAATTTGTTGTCGTCGAGGCATCATTGATGAAACCATGCTGCTCAGCAGGGACCATGCCAGCTTTATCAAGTCAGGACACAAGCTTATCTCTTATACTCTTTTCCATGACTTTTGCAGGTGTAGATAGCAGACTAATAGGGCGAAAATCCCTCACCCGCCTAGCGCCCTGGACCTTAGGGATAGGTGTTACAAGGGCGTGCTTCCAAAGTGCGGGTACCTCTCCTAATAACATGGATATGTTGAAAATATGTGCTAGTGGTGTGCCCAGAGATGAGGAACACATCTTGTATACAATCTGAGGTATGCCGTCATATGTTTCAGTAGCGGAGTTTTTGAGGTGCTTCAAAATTCGGCAGACTTCATGCGATTCAAAAAAGATTGAGAACAGTTCCCCTTGCACATCATGAATATTGCCAAGAGCAGGTGCGCTACAGTCCGTAGAAGTGAAGACGCTAGCAAAATAGGCTCCAAGAACTTTCGCCTTCTCTTCATCACGGAAAAATCGGGCACCAAGGTCATTTTCGAGGGTGGGGAGGTTAGAATTTGGCTTCATCTTAGCTCTGATGTAAAGGAACAGGCTTCGCGCTGATTTCTATGCAAGCCGACGCTCACGATTAGACAAAAACTTTCGCATATGAAACTCAATTTCGGAACAAACTTTTCTGTAAAGATCGTTGTGCAAAGGATCAGGCAGGTCATCAAAAAGACGACATTTCTGCAATTTCAGGGATTGTATATGTGCAGGTACTTTGGCTATGACAAGACCACGAGCTTTGAAAGGAACAAATAGAGCAAAAGCTTCATAAAGTTTTTGCAAAACCTCCTATATACATCAGAGCAAGATTCATATCCATTAAAATGAGAAAGCCAATCGATTCCAGAAAGGTATCCGTTCAAAGCTTTGTAGTCGACATTATGAAAATCGGGCATTGGAAAAGGAAGGGATGCCGCCGATTAACATCACGCACCTCAAAACTAACTATCTCATGGTCCGAAGACCCAAGCGGGGATGAACATTCACATGGAGAAGCTCAACAGCAGA